GTCAGCCCTCCCAGCTCTCCCGCCCAGCCCGGGCTGCAACTCCCCCAGACCCCTCCTGCCCAAACAGCTGCAGGGCAGCGCGGCTGCCCACAGGGGAGGCAGGAGGGTGAGGAGGAGCTGGGGGCGTAGTGCCCGGTAGTACCAGACTGCTCCATCTAGCGCGCCACTTACCCGCGGGCCGTGCCCTATAGGTCACATAGTCACACACTGTCTCACTTTAATTCTAATCCTATCAGTGGCAGAAAAGTAGCATTAACCTCATCTGCAGCTCAAGATGGTTAAGGGACAAGTCTGGGGTCACATGCTGGTACGGAATAGGATTTGGACTCGATCCCATGAGTCCTAACTCCAAAACCCATCTATTTTCTGCTACACTGTTGGTATTTAAAGTTAAAAAATTTTGTTTTGAACAGTTTAAAAGAATATGAAATCCTATGTGCTTCTCTGTACTCTTTGAAACTTCCTGTGAATCTACAATTATTTCAAAATTAAAAGTTTAAAAAATCCTATGTGGAGCCCCAATGTATAAAATCTATCCATGAGATGCTGTTAGAAGTCAGGGGTGTGGTTCCCCCTCCAGGGGCAGTGTGGAGAGGGAGCATGGGGGAGCAAGGGGTGCTGGAAATGTTCTGTTTCTGGATCTGGTTGGATATACAAATGTGTTAGATTTGCAAAAACTCATTGAGCTGTGCATTTACGATTGGTGCACTTTTTTGTATAATGTTCAACTTTAAAAGTTAAAAACATATCAAAGTGAAAGTGTTCTAGTTGAACAGGAAGAGGGGTTAGAATTTGCTCAGCTTCTCCCTCTTCTCCTCTCCCTCATTAATCCTCTGAGGACTCCAGGGTTCTGAAGTATACGATTTGGAATCTGGATTCTGATTTCTCTTGCATAACTCAGTGACTGGGTCAGAGGCCCTCGGCTCTCTAGGCCCTGCACTTAATTGGCATTGCCATTTCCCATTATTTAGTTAGAAATCATAGCTCTCAGTTTAAAACCACCATTCAAGTCCCATTTATCTATTTTATTGTTGTTGTGATTGCCCTTGGGGTCTTCTTCATAAATTCTTTGTTTAGGCAGATATCTAGAAGAGTTTTTCCAAGACTTTCTTCTAGAATTCTTATGGTTTCATCTCTTAAAGTCTGTTATCCATCTTGGATTAATTTTTGTGAGTGATGAGAGATATGGATCCGGTTCCAATCTTCTACATGTGGCTATCCAATTTTCCCAGCACATTTTATTGAATAGGGATTCTTTCCCCCAGTATATATTGCTGTCTACTTGTCAAAGATCAAATGGCAATATGTGGATGGTTTTATATATGGGTTCTCTGTTCTGTTCCATTGGTCTATGTCTCTTTGTTTGTGCCAGTACCATGCTAGTTTGGTTAATATAGCCTTGTAGTGAAGCTTAAAGTTTGGTAAAGTGATACCTTCAGATTTGTTTCTTTTGCTTAAGGTTGCTTTGGCTATTTGGGCTCCTTTCTGGTTCCAAATGAAGCATAAATTGTTTTTTCTACATCTGTGAGAAATGACATTGGTATTGCTTAAATTATAAAGCTTTTATACATCCAAGGAAACATTCAACAGAGCAAATAGACAACCTACAGAATGGGAGAAAATAATTGCATGCTATATATCTGATAAAGGGCTAATACCCAGAATTGACAAAGAACTCAAGCAAATAATTAAGAAAAAATCAAACAACCCCATTAAAAAGTGGGCAAAAGACATGAACAGAAGCTTTTCAAAAGAAGATAGACTAATGGCCAATAAACATGAAAAAATGTTCAACATCATTAATCATCAGAGAGATGCAAATCAAAACAACAACGAGATATCACCTAACCCCAGTGAGAGTGGCTTTTATCAAAAAGACACAAAACTGTAGATGCTAGCTTGGATGTGGAAAGGAAGGAATACTTATACACTGTCTTTGGGACTGCAAACTAATACAACCTCTATAGAAAAGAATATGGAGATTCCTCAAAGAAATAAAAGTATACCTATCACTTGATCCAGCAATCCCACTACTGGGTATTTATCCAAAGGAAAAAAAGTAATTTTATCAAAAAGACACTTGTACTACAATGTTTACTGCAGCACAATTCACAATCACAAAGATGTAGAACCAGCCCAAGTGCCCAATAATTCATAAGTGAATTAATAAAATATGGTATATGCATACCATGGAGTACTACTCAACCATAAAAAATGAATTAATACCTTTTGCGACAATCTAGATGGAACTGGAGATCATCTTCCTAAATGAAGTATCGCAAGAATGGAGAAACAAACACCGACTGTACTCACTATTAAATTGGAACTAACCAATCAGCACTTCTGTGAACAGATGGAAGTAAAACTCAACGGAAATCAAGCAGGTGGGAGGGGTAGGAGGGGATGGGTGAGATCACACTCACACAGGTACGATGTCCACTATCTGAGTGATGGGCACACTTATAACTTTGACTCAAGCAGTACGAAAGCAATCCATGTAACCAAAACATTTGTACCCCTGTAATATTCTGAAATAACAACAACAAAAGTAAAACAGAAATATTTAGGGGGGGAAAACCCACCATTCAAATGTCTGTGAAGAAGAACATTGATCCTGGGTGTGTGTGGAGGACACCATGACAGGATGCTATGTGAAAAGGAGACAGCAAGCTGTTGGCCTCCCACTTGGGTAGGGCAGCCTCATTCTGAAACAATAAACTTAGAGGGAAGGATTCCCAAAGACAACTAAGGAAGAGAAGGCTGTTCTGACTTGAAAGGAATTGATTGGTTCTGACTTATAATCACAGAGAGCTAGCAATAAGGACCATTCCATATGATCTGCGAATAAAAGGCAACTGACAATGTAACATAAACAAACAAACCAACCTCACTCACATTCTAAGTTGGCACATAATATTTCCACCTCATTTGGCTTCTGTAAAGATCTATGGGTTGAATGTGCACTTTGGAGCAGCAGGCTATAGCCGGGTTGTTTGTCCCTTCCTGCATGGAGGATGTGGCTAATAATTTTTCCTTTCATACGCCGAGTTAGTTTCCGCTGTTACCTGCCCACCGCTGTACCTGGAGTCAGCAGTAGCTGCCAACACATAGCTACGGGCAGAAGTTAGCCCAGTGTGAGGTTAATTGGACCAAATTAAAGCCATTACGATTTAACAGACTCCCTCAGAGTTCTCTCACAGGAATGCGTAAGTGGGCTCCCCCGGGCCTGAGGAAAGTTTGGAAGTCAAGTTGCTCTTGCGATTTGTCAAATGGCTAGTCTGCAGGCTGCTGGGGGACGAAGGCATTAGACAAAGGAGACTCTTTTGTATGGTCCAGTTTCTAGAAGAGGCTCTTCTCTGAGGAGTTGAGGAAATGATATCAACAGGGTGAATCAGACTAACGACCCCACCAAGGAGGGGAGAGGGGGTGAGGAGTGAGCCACTCAGGTGTCAGCGTCTCCCACCCGGGGCCAGCCACTTTGTGAGGTTCTTTCCCGTTCAATGTCGCTCCACTTCATCTCAAGGAAGGCAGGGTTTTAGTCCCCCAAATTTTCAGGCTAAGTGGAAAACTCTTTTTTGACACAGCATTTGTCATTGGAGAGCCGTGCCTTCTGTGATGCTCTCCCAGGGCCCTCTCTACCTTGGGACCCTCCCCTGCTGAAGAAAGCAGAGGAGGGAGCGAGGTTCCAACTGATCCAGGTACAGTAGCCAACGGCAGCACACAACTCTCAGTACAAAAGGCAACCCCATCTCAGATGGCGTTCACGATGGGTTGCATCTAGTCGAGGAAGGTGATAGCCTCTGTGCTTCCAGGACACTGGGTGTGTTGAGCACAGTCTGGGGTGGCTTATTTTATCTTGTTTATTTAGAGACAAGGTCTCACTCCATCACTTAGGCTGGAGTGCAGTGGCATGAATATAGCTCACTGCCGCCTCGAATTCCTGGGTTCAAGCAATCCTCTTGGGTGGCTTATTTTAAAAGTGACACTGACATATCAGAATCCTTTCAGAAAAGAGACCAGCATGGTCTCTGGGAGCTGTGTCAGTTGAAAAGAATGGGGACATGTAGCTCAGAGAAGAGAGGACTTATCTGGGAGTAGGACAGAGATGTGGTCCCTCAGGGAAGAGCTCTGACCCCTGGTGACAGTTCCAATGGGGGATTGTTCGATACCCAATTCCTACATAGTGTTTTCCCAGGTCCCAGTCGCTGATCTAAACACAATACATGCCATGAACTCATTTAATGCTTACGACAACCTTATGAGGTATTGTTCTCATCAGCTTCATTTTAAAGATGTAGAATCAAGCACAGAGAAGTTAAGTGACTTGCCCAGAGTCACACAGAGATGAATGACAGAGCTGGAATTTGAATCCAGCTTTCTTACTAGGCCAAGGTTTCTCAACCTCATCACTACTGACCTTTTGGGCTGGGCCATTCTTTGTTATGGGGGCTGGCCTGGGCATTGTAGGCTGTTTAGTGGCATCCCTGGCCTTTAGCTACCAGATGTCAGTAGCACTCCCTAGTTGTGAAAATCAGATGTCTCCAGATATTGCCACATATTCCCTGGAGGGCAAAATCCCCCTTCGTTGAGAATGACTAAGCTAGAGCCTCCCCAGACCGGCAGCCTGTCTCATGCAGGACTGGAACTCCCACCACTGCCCTCCTATTTGGGGGCCATGGAAGCCCCCCACACCCACAGTGCCTTACAATGCTCCTCCTAGCTCAACAGTGGACCTGCATCTGCCTAGAGACATTCTGGCCTGAGAGGCTGTATGATTTTTAACATTCCCAACATTTCTTAATTTTATTATCACCTGCTTCTATGTCCCAAAAGTTGGGGACCAAAATGGTATGCTGATTCATTGGGGCAACAGCTGAGGAAAGGCCTAAAGTTTGCCCAGCACTTTACATATATATCCACAATAATCCTATGGAGGTACATACTTTTATCGACATTATAAAGGACAAAAAAACTGAGGCTCAGAAAGTTTAGTAACTCACCCAAGGTCACAGCTGATATAATGGAGCCAAGATTTGCAGCCAGATCCATTGACACCAAAATCTACATGCTTTTATGAGAGGAGAGGACACACAATGCTCACAGTGACACAATGTTCACAGTGACATGTGGGGACAGACGTAGCCTGAGCTGGAGGATAGGGGCTGCTGAGTGTCATAACCCCTGTGACAGGGCTGGGGCCAGGGCTGAGGGCTGTGTGTGCTCCCCACTGCCTGGCCCAGCTCCAGCTCTGTGCTCCCTCTCCTGGGCCACCAGCCCCTCTGCCTCCACCAATACCATTCCCCCGCCCTAAGTCCTTCGCTGCTGCCCTCTCTCAGCATAAATGCCCAAATTATCCCAGCCAGATTCATCTAGCCCGCCTGGCTCCCTGGCCTTGAGTCCTCCAGCCCACACTGTCTCCTCCTCACCGTTCCTGGAATCCCACGCACTTTCTCCAAGCCAAGCTCTTTGTGCCAAATCAAGATTTTGAATGGGATATTTGTGAGTATGTAAGTCTCTCAGCCTTTCTCTATTGTCTGAGCTCCAGGCGGCCAAGTCATCTCCTCCCGTCATCCTGGGTGGGGCCAACACAGCGCCTGTCACGTGGTAGGGCTCAGTCGATATTTGCTGAATGTATATTTAACAAGTGTGTAATTTATGTTTTCATCTAAGTCTCTGATGAAAATGCCAAGCAGAAGTGGGCCAAGGCAGGGAGGGTGGCTGCCAGCAGACAGCACCTTCCGGGTGACAGCAGGTCCTTCGTCCACACCACCTGGGTCACTCAGCCCTCTCGCCCCTGCACCAGCCACCTGCATCTCCACGCCTCTAAATCCTGCTCAGCAGGGCACGTGAGAGCGGGTCATCGCCTGCTAACGTCCCTTCACCCATGTCTACGTATTCCTTTGCTCTCCCAAGCCAGAAACCCTTTAGGAAAAGGAAAGGAATCTGGTCTTGATAGCCCTTCCTGGCTTTTAGTGTCCCTCTGCCTTAAATTCTCAAAAACCCCTTGTGATCTTACTGCCTGAGATTTGACCCTAAGGGAACCGGGATTAGGCTCCAAACAATGGGCCTAAGATAGGAGTAATTTTTTTCAACCTTATAAAGGTATAACTGATAAACTACAAAACTACCAAAAAAAGGTATAACTAATAAACTACAAAAATTAAAAGCATACAATTTGATGAGTTTTAGCAAATGTTTACGCTCACGAGCTATCACCGTAGTCAAGAACATTTCCATAGTGAACATTCCAGAACCCCTGGAAGTTTCCTTGTGCCCCTGTGTTATCTGTCCCTTTCTCCACTCCATCCTCAAGCAACCACTGATGTGCTTCCTATCACTATAGATTAGTGCGCATTTAAAAAAAATTTTGTATACATGGAATGATACTGTATATGTACTTTAAAGGGGTGTCTGACTTCTTTTGTGGAGCATGATTTTAAGATTCATCCATGTTGCATGCAGCAATGGTTTGTTCCTTTTTATTACTGAGCAGCGTTCTAGTACATCGACATACACTAGTCACCCCCTATCTGCAGTTTCACTTTCCCCAGTTACCTGCAGTCAACTGTGGTTCAAAGATAGGTGAGTAGTACAGTAAAATAAGATATCGAGAGAGACAGAGAGACCACATTCACATAATTTTATAATTGTTCTATTTTATTATTAATCTCTTACTATGCCTTATAAATTAAACTTCATCACAGGAATGTGTGTACAGGAAAAAAACAGTATATGTAGAGTTCAGTACTGTAATGTATCTGTGGTTTCAGGCATCCACTGGGGCATCTTAGAGCGTATCCCCCATGGATAAGGGGAACCACTGTGCCACAGTTTGCTATCTATTCACCTAGTGATGGACTTTTGTGTTGTTTCCCATTTGGGGCTATTTCAAATAAGGCTGCTGTAAACATTTATGCACAGTTCTGTGGACATGTGTTTTCATTTTTCTTGGGTAAATACCTAGGAGTAGAATGGCCGGGTCATTTGGCAGATGGATATTTATCTCTTTAAGGAACTACCATACTGTTTTTCAAAGTAGTTGCACCATTTGGTTTTCCCACCAACAGCGTATGATAACTCTACTTGCCCAAAATTCTTGCAATATTTAGCATGATCAGGCTTTAATTTTAGCCATTCTAATAAGGAACTAATGGTATCTTGCTATGGTTTCAATTTGCATTTCCCTGATGACTAAAGAGGTTGAACACTGTTTCATGTGCTTATTGGCTATTTTTATGTCTTCTTTCATGAAGTGTCTGCTCAAATATTTTGACAATTTTTTAATTGGATTGTCTTTTTTTATTTTGTTTGTGAGAGTTGTTTATATAGTACAGATACAAATCTTTTATCTGATATATGTGTAATGAATAGTTTTTTCCCAATTTATGGCTTGCCTTTTCATTTTCTTATCAATGTCTTTTGAAATATAAATTTTGATGAAGTCCATTTATTTTGTCACTTATGTGACATATCTAAGAAACCTCTGCCTACTCCAAGGTTACAAAGATTTCCCCCATATATTCTTCTAGTTTTAGATTTTCCACTTGGGTTTATGGTCTGTTTCAAGTTAATTTTTGTATATAGTGGGAAATAAGGGCTGATACTCATTTTTTTTCTATATATTATTCAGTTGTTTTACACCATTAGTTGAAAACTTTCCTTTCCCCATTGAATTGCTGACACCCTTATCAAAAATGTCCTGTTACTATATGTATGGGCATTTTCAGACTCTCTATTTTATTTCAGTAATCTATACATTAATCTTTATGCCAATACTAGAACTGTCTTGATTATTATAACTTTATAATAAAAGTCTTGAAACCAGGTAGAGAAAATTCTCCAACTTTGTTCATTTTAAAATTAGCTTTGGTTATCCTATATCCTTTGCATTACCTTATGTATTTTATAATCAGGTTCTTGCTTTTTATAAAAGATTTTGGGATTATAATTGAGAATATGTTGAATCTATAGATCAATTTGAAGAGTTGTCATTTTAAAAATATTGAGTCTTTAAATCAATGAACACAGTATAGCTTTCCATATAATTAGTATTTTAAATGTCTCTGGGAAATAATTTGTAGTTCTCAGTGTAGATGATTTGGAAATACTTTATTATATCTATTTCTATTTTATGTTTTGTGGTACTATTATAAATGGAATTTCTTTAAAAATTTGTTTATTGTACAATTGTTTGCTGCTAGCATATAAGAATACAATTGATTTCTTTAGTATCCTGAAATCTTAATATATTCACTTAATTTTATTAGTTATTCTACAGATTTCCTGGGATTTTATAAACAATCATAACATCTGCAAATAGGGACAGTTTTATTTGTTCCTCCTTGATCTTTATGTCTTTTATTTATTTTTCTTGCCTTGTTGCAATGGCTAGGACCTGCAATACAATGTTGAACAGAAGTGAAAGTAGGCACCCCTTGCCTTGTTCCTGATTTTAGGAAGAAAGCATTCAACTTTTCACCATTAAGTATGATGTTCGTTGTTGGATTTTTTTTTTTTTTTTTTTTTTTTGAGACAGAGTCTCACTTTGTTGCACAGGCTAGAGTGAGTGCTGTGGCGTCAGCCTAGCTCACAGCAACCTCAAACTCCTGGGCTCAAGCAATCCTTCTGCCTCTACAGGCATGCGCCACCATGCCCGGCTAATTTTATATATATATATATTAGTTGGCCAATTAATTTCTTTCTATTTATAGTAGAGACGGGGTCTTGCTCTTGCTCAGGCTGGTTTCGAACGCTGTTGGATTTTTGTAGATTCTCTTTATCACTCTGAGGAAGTTTCTAGTTGCTCAGAGTTTTTATCATAAATGGGTGCTAAATTTTGTTAAATGATTCTTCTGCATTGATTGATATGATCAGATGGTTTTCCCCTTTTACTAAGACAGGTATAATTTTGTTTTGTTTTGTTTTTAAACATGGGTCTCACTACATTGCCCAGGCTGGTCTCAAGCAATCTTCCTGCCTCAGCCTCCCAAGTCACTGGGATTACAGGCATGAGGCACTGTGTCCAGCTAAGACAGGTGTAATTTTACAGAAGTGAGAGAAAGTATAGAGTATGAGCTCTTGCCACCATGGAAAGCTCCAGACATCTTGAAGAAGAGTGATGTAAGGGTTAGAAAGAGCACAAGCTTTGTAGTAGATAGACTCAGACTTCGAGTCCCAGTGCTACATCTTGTTATAAGCAACTTAATCACTTGGAACCTCAGTCTTCTCATCTGTAAGATAGAGGGAAAAATACCTAAAAGTCTGTGGTAAGGATTAAATTAGAAAAATACATGCAAAGTATGTAGCACATACAAATAATAGACACTGTTGCATCTGCTGCTGGATGTGAAACTCTGGAGGCATTGGTTCTTGGGGGATGAAAGTGATATGTACAACCATGATGACAAAGACAAATATCCCAGTCCACCTTTTCAGCTAAAGGTGGTAGAAACTACTTACAGGGATATGTGGATAAGGACTTTCTCTCTACTTCTTTCCTATGTATCTTGATGACCCTGAGTATCAGATGGACTAGGTAAAAAGCCTTATTAATCTAAAAATGACAGTATGTTTGTTAAACAAAATGCTCAGATGATGGTATATCTGAATCTAGAAGACGGAGAACCCATCTTTTGCAACAAGGCCATGAATCTAAAAACAATTCAATCATAGGTTAAAAAAGAATTCCTGACGACTAAATACATAGTCACGGAACGCCCCCATTTTGGATTTCCAATTCCATTTTTAAACTATCTTTTAAAATTATCACAGCAATTGGGTCATTCAATGCTTGGAATAGCCTACACTGGGAGTAGGATGGTTTAGCATATCTCAAAGTGTATTATATCCAATCAGGGATATTAACAGTGTGACATGAATACAAGGTTTCCAAGGTCCAAAAAAATGTGCAAACACTGGGTTAATCATGCTGTTAAAAATTCTTTTAAAGTCACAAGACTTTAAGAGACTAACATGCAATGTGAATCTCCAATAAAAATATATATATATGGGCTACAGAGCTTCCCAAACATATTTGACTTCACAACCCTTTTACAATTTACTCT